GAGAAAGAAGGTGATGATGGTCACCTGCTGTGGCATGCTGCGCTTGCAAAGCAGTGCTAGCAGGTCGTCCACGTACAGCCATGCGCGGTGGCTGAAAGTTGCTAGAAGTGCGTGCACTATGCGGAGCATTTGGCTGCCTGCTCTTTGCCACCAATATGCGCCAAAGTGGCAGACGACGTAATGGAACAGCCTGCCTGCGGATTCGAAGAGCAAGCATCCATGTTCCTTGGCTTGCACTTTAATGCTTTTATGCGCGGCTTTGAAGTCCAGTGACAATGCGACCCATCGCCCGAATGCGTCGTCACTGCTGAAAGTGCGGTGCACATCCAAGTTGGAAGGCAAGCTGACCTTCTCTGGGACCCTGCATGCGATGTTGGCGTTGCACACCGTGCTGTCGAGGACGAGGCGCGGTTCTTTCCCCTCTGCTGTCACTATGTTGAGCTTGCCTATTGCGGAGCCTGCTGGCCAGTGCTGTGCGACTGCGTTGCGGCCTGCGGGGAAGGGCTTCACCCAACCGTTGGCTACCTCTTGCTCGACCAATTGCTGGAGAAGGACCGGATTGCGTTCTGCCTGCGTCCAATTGCCTTGGCAGCGCAGCAAGCTAGGTCATCATCATCAAGGTCGTGCTGGCGCAGTGTCCATTGCATGCTGGACGGGATGTCGTCAAGGATGCCTGCTGGAACGCCATGCTTCAGCAGGTCCGTGAGTTGTGCGTCAGGGTCTTGCATGCGTGCGGCAAAGGCTTGCAGAAGGTTGAGACGGAATGGCTGGCCGGGAGTCACGAGAAGGCAGTCTGCTTGCGAGCAGGAAGGGTGCAGGCATCTATGCGCAATTTCTGCCAGGTCTAGCTGCTGTTGATGTGTGAGCGGGTGCGAGTCGATGCCTTGCGCCAGGTGGTGCAGGATGTGTGGAGAGAGGTCATGCTGAGAGGCGTATTGCTGCCAGTGCTGAATGAGATCTTGGAACGGGCTGCTGGCTTTTGGGTTGGTGTGGCCTGCCGTGCTGTTGAAGCCGGCGCCGTCACATACCGGAGGTCGGCGATGTATGACAGGCTCGCAGAGCAGGTTGGCGAAGTCAGAGATGCTGGCTCTGCGGATGCCTGTTTGAGTGCAAAAGGGCTGCAAAAGTACTGCCAAGGCTGCGGCTAGGCTGTCTGGATAGTCGGCTGTCAGCGCGCTGACATGGATGTTCCCTTGCTTGAGGCCTGCAATGGACTTATGTGCGCCTGGTGGGTGGCGGGTGCATGCCAGAGTGCGAATAGATGCAAAGCTTGCGCAGAAGGCCCAGGACTTGTAATAGTCCATGCCGTGCTCGCATGCCGCCACGTGCGAACAATGTGCACAGAGCTCGCGCAGCAAGGTGACATTGTCCTCCTCCAGCCACGCCATCGAGGAGGCAGGCTGCTCCAGGCCTGCTTCGCCTGCTGCTTCGCGGATGCATCTGGTGACCCTGCGGCTGCGTGCGTGTATCTCTGTGCTTTGCAATACGCGGAGGAGCTCCTCTTCTGAAAGGCCTGGGACTCCTTGCATAAACTCAGGAGTGCGTAGTGCTTTTGGGCCTGGCCTGCGGAGTTTGAGGCGCGAGTACTCTTTGCATGGCGGCGCCGACCAGCCGGCCCCTACAATGCCGCTGCATGCGACGCGCAGGAGCAGGCGGTAGTGCGAGTCATTCAGTATGTCCAGGCCTGGTGCGAATGCGATGTCGAAGGGATGAAAGCAGTCACAGCCTAGGCGCTCCATAGCTTGTGTCAAGGGCGCACGCTGACCCGAGAACAGGTCCAAGAAGAGGCGAGGTTGCTGCGCAGACTTGCGTGCTGGCATGGGCGTGCGTGATCTAGGCTGTGGTGTGGAGCTGCGTTCTGTGCCTGGGTGTGACGTGGTGCTAGTGCTGCTTATGCTGGGGCTACGTGAAGGCTGCCTGCGACTTGAAGCGGTGCTGGCTTGCGGGGTGCCTTTGCCCGGAGGCTTGTCCGTTGGCAAGGCGGATGGCGCAGAGATGCGCAAACTTGCACTTGCGATCATTGCACTCCGTCTTGTTGAAGCGGATGCAGAGCGTCTTGTTCCCATGCTTGAGCTGCAGGTTGCGCATTGCTTCTGCGAGTGCTGTGACCTTGACGTCATCTTTAAGGCGCGTCTGGACTTTGCCGCATTACCTTGGCCAGGCTTGCCTTTACCTTTGCCGTCCTTCTGCATGGGAGGGCGTGCGCGGGGCTGCAGGAGTGCGTGCACGTCTGCTCTTATGCATGTCATTTCATGCAGTGCTTCGTCCAGCGTCCACCCTTCTGCGTGCAAGCTGGAGACCTCGTTCCAGATTTTGCGGTCTGCTTGCAAGAGTTCGTGCGTATTCACCGTGCGGAGGCCGGTGTCAGCTGGCAGCTGTTGTGTGCAAAGATCCAAGATCTTTTTGTCAAATGCCTTGAGAGTGGCAAGGTGTGCGCTGTTGCAAAGTGCGATTGCGTTGCGAAAAATTTGCTGGGTGCGTGCAAGCCATGCCGGGCTGAGGTGCGCGCGATCGATGCTGAGCTCTGGCGTCTCATCGAACAATGCGGCGCTCACCAACTGCGCTTCGGTGCGAAGCGTGCGAGTAGCGCGTGCCTCAATGATGTCCTGATATTGCTTCTGGCTCACGCGAAGCTGCCATGGCACCCACTTGATCACCCCCTTAGGGGTGAACCACTGGTGCACCAGGCTGAGCAGGCGAATGCTGGGCATGCCATCTGCGTCCAGGTGCTCGCCCGGGCAGTTGGCTCGGAAGCTTGCTTGCATGCGTTGGACTGCTTCTGAGTCCAAGCGGGGCGGTGCGTGCTCTGCCCAGACGTTGCTTGCAGCAGGCGTGCTGGCTTGCGGGTGCCGGTGCAGGGGCCGAGCCGGCCTCCAATGTGCTTGCGTAAGACTTGCACCTGTCTAGTGCCCTGCGTGCGACTGCCGGCGAGTGCTCTGGGTCCGTGATTTGCATGCCTTCCCACAGGGCGTCAGGCTGCTTGGCAATGAAAGAGTTGAGGTCTGATGCGTCTGAGTATGCGTATGCAAAATCTGCGATGCATGCGATGCCTGAGTTGATTAATGCGTCTTGCAAGGGCGCCGGCACCTGAAGTGTTTGCATCAAGGAGATGAGGCCTTCTCTGGTGTCGAGGTCTGAAGGCGCATCCATGGTTCAGGAAGAGCGGTGGCCGATCACACTGCTTGAGGGAAAAAGGCTGCGGTGCACCAAGTGAGGGTGAGGGAGGCAGAAGCAGCTAAGTGAGCTCAACCCAGAGGCGCACGTGTCCTCGAAGCGGACCTTAGTTGCGGGGTCAGTGTCAAGTGGAAGCAGAGCAGAGTGCAAGTTGAGAGTCTACAGCCTTGTTTTGGGGTCATGCCGATTGCTGAGTATGGGCCCTTGCTTGAAGGCAGCCTTGGCGCCTGCAGGGCACCAATGGATCTGTACATGAAAATGCAAAGCTGGCGGCGCCCAGCTTTGCGCCGCATGCAGCCTTGAGAAGACGAACTGCTGGCTTGCCTTGCTCTGGCGCGGAGGTGTTGTATGCGGCGAGGCTTCCGGGGGTGGGGCTATGCATGCTGCCCCACGGCCCCGAGCACACGAAGAGCTGCTCCAAGTGATGTCGTTTTTTTGGAGCCTTGGAGGCCGAGTCTGAGGATGCATGCTGCTGTGCCCATTCCTCTACCTGCCTGGCTTCTTCGTCATCTGAGGAAGCCTGTAGTTGCAAAAGCACGGGAGAGTCGGGCGAAGCGGGCGGAGAGTTGGGTGCCTGAGGATCCTCGCAGGGTGCCTGCTCTGGGCCGTGCGAGGCTTGCAGGTGCTCATGCCGGGAGGCGAAGGGCGACCACGGTCCTGAGACGACGTCGCTTGCTGGAGGGAAGAGACACTGAGGCTCGGGAATGGGCGGCGCGCCTCCTCTGGCCATGGACCTCTGTGGCCGCCAGCCTGTGGCCAGGGAGGTTGCAATTGCACGCTGTACGCGGAGGCTGGCGAATGTGTCGTTGCGAGAGTAAAGGCGGGCAGAGTCTCGGTGGTGGCCCTGCGCTAGGCGCTCGTCCCTGCGAAGGTCCAACTGTGCTGCGCTTGCCAAGGCGGTGCTTTTCATGCTGTGCAGTGTAAGGGCGGACGCTTCACCTGGGGTGAGCGCGGCTTGCCCGCAAGTGTCTGCAGATTGAGATGCCCACCTGATGCACAGGAGTGTGCGTGCGTAGCTTGCGGGCGCAATGCAGGGCAGGGCGTGGCATTGCATGTCTGCATGCGGAAAAAGGAAATCTGGCTGGCCGCTGGCGTCCTGCTGGAAGGCTGGCAGCGACGAGATGCAAGCCAGCCAGCGCAGCAGCCAAGAAGTGCTTGCCGAGCGACCTGTGTAGCCGTGCCAGGTGCATGCGAAAGGTTGCCCTGCCTTAGTGGTTTTAGTTGCGTATGCGACTGCATGCAAGCCTTGTGTGCTGAGCTGGAGCGTGTGCCAGCGAACGCGTTGTGCGTCCCCGAACCTGCTGCTGGAATGGATGCAGAGCAGTGCGGCGCCCAAAATTAGTTTGGTTGTCAAGGGTGCGTGCGGTNNGCGGTGCGCAAAGAATGCGCTCCCATGCTGCGACAAGCGCTGCTGGGATAGGAGTTGCCTCGCGTTTGTCGAAAGAGGCAATTTGCTTGCAGTACGATGCGACCAAGCTATTGCGCACGCATGCCTGCAGGGCTGCCCACTGGATGTGCTTTGCCAACCAATGCAAAGACTTAACTGCGGAACTGGCAGATGTGCGATGCACCGCGCGGTCCTGATCCGCGCTGCTGCTGCATGCGTAAAGAAAGTCAACCACGAGCGAGACAGGCAGCTGCTGCATGGGTACGTGCTCTGCTTGGACAAAATCCGCAAATGCCATGCAATTTGAAATATAGCTAGCGATAAAGCGCGCTGGCTGCAAAAGGTGCTAGGAGTTGCTTAAGGTGATGCTGTGCGTGCCCGGATGCGGACAAAATTGCGAAGAGCTGGCAGTGCTCGCCCACAAGGTTGACTAGCACGAGGAGCTGTGCTTGCATCTGCTCCCTTCTTGCCTCAGAGGCTGCTTGCGACGATGGGGCTCTAGGAACGCGGGCTTGCGGGAGCGAGGTGCTGGGGGAGGCAAGATTGGTTGACTGTGCGACTGTGCAGGGCTGCCTGAGGAGATGTGCGGAATGCTCTTGGGCCTGGGCTTTGCTGAAGGCACCGGTGCGCCGCCAAGTTGCGACGCTGGAGGCCTGAGTGCGGCACGCTTGCTAAAGACCGGTGGGGGCTTGGGAGTGCCAGGCTGGTGTGAGGGGTACTTGACTGAGAACTGCGGCTTAACTGAAATTGCTGATCCTGGGATCGCGAGGTCGGAGACCTGATGCTTGGGCCTGCCTAGGCGAGGGACCTGAAGGGATGGGCGAGGCGAGGGCGCCGTGCGACATCGTAGGGCGTAAAGTTGCATGCGGGGCGTCCATGCCTGCATGCGGTGCGTGTGCATGCGTAAGCGCATGCCCAATTATTGCGACGGTTTTTAAAATAAGGGCGAGTGCCGCACCACCCTATTAGGTGCGGTGCGATGTGCTTGCTTGGAACCAGGGGGAGGTCTTCCCCCCCTGGTCGCTTGCGGGAGGCGAGCGCGGCTGCTGTGCCTGCGGCGCGTTCCAGTCTGGATGCTGTGCCAACGAGCTGCCGGTGGGCCACGGCTCTCTGTATGCGTTGCGATGCGGATTGCTTGACTGACGCCAAGGGTCATGCTCTGCGTGAGGTCGAGGCGCGGTATAGTGCGTCTGGTCCCAGTTGCTGTCGGAGGCCTGCGGCTCGTGCGACATGTCGTGCCATGAAGGGCGTGGCCTGCTCTGCGGTGCGTAGTCAGTAAGGCCTTTGCCTTGCGATGCGGGGCTCTGCTTGCCAGCGCCCTTATTGCTTTGCGAGGTCTGCTTGCCTCCAAGAACTGCATGCGGTGCTGGAGTTGCCGGATGGTGGCTATCTGGCCAGTTTGCGGATGCTGAGGCGGTTTGCGATGCGTCTGCTGGGTCCTGAAAAGAGCTTGCGATGAGGTCGTGCAGGCGGCCCCTCAGGTCAGTGCGATTGCGGAGCGCTGTGGCAATGTCCTCGTCGCTGCAGCTTGCGAAGCAAATCAGTGCGGATTGGGCTGACAGTGAAGCATCCATGGTCGGCAGAGGCAAAGATTAGTTGATGGGATACGGCAGGAGCTGCGTGATCCCTTAGAGGGATAAGCAATTAGGGCCAAGGTGTGGCTTATGCCAAGGGAGGCCCCTAAAGGGGGTACTTAGAGGGTAGATGTGCGACTGCTGACCTGTCAAATGCAATCAAGAAAACCCAGCTAGATGGGGAGTTGAGCCAAGTTGGCTTCAAACAAGCAAGGCTGGCTGTGCGTCAATCTTCAAGGCCAGCTAGTGCGAGCCGGTCGTATAAGCCAGTATAAGCTGAGGTGGGCGCTTGCTTGCGGCAGAGCGAGTGCGAGTGCGAGAAGTACCTGCGGTGCAGTGGAGTCATGCGGACCCAACTGTGTAAAGATGGGGCAATGCGAGCCTGCTTGCGGGTGAGGACCTGGCCGTGGTGCAGGTTGATGCCAAACATGCGGCTTGAAAGTTGGAGCTGAGTCACCCAAATCATGCTTGCGGCTGCGAAAGTCCTGAAGGGAAAAAAGTGTCCCAGGCGTCTGCGGAGCTGGACCACGTTTGTGTTTGCTTGCGTAAGCATGTCCTGGAGCTCGTTGCTGCTGATACGGTGTAAGCGCAAGTCTGCTTGCACGTCTGTGATGCGCTCATGTGCGTTATGCGTGCTGTTTTCCAGTTCGTCAATGTGCCTTGCACTGCGTTGGTCAAGGTTGCTGACCTGCCTTTCGAGTTCGGTGAGGCTTTGTTCGAAGGCCTGCATGCGGCGAAGCATGTTGCGTTGGCTATTCTCTATGATGTGGATCGAGCCCTGCATGCTGTGAATTGCTGCGAAAAAGGTCTGCCATGCTAGGCGGTGCGGTGCTGAACACTGGCCTAGGCGGGGGTGAGCGGGCTGAGTACGGTGCGGTGCGTGCGGAATTGCTTGCTTGATGCGGTACAAGTGCCAGAGTGCCAGCATAGCCTGCGTCTGAGCTAGAGCCTGAGGCGAAAGCTGTAGGCGCCACTATAGGTGCGAGCGGTGCCTGCGAAGGGTCCTGAGTGCTGACCAAAATGGGCTCGCTTGCGTCCGACCTGTGGTCGCTGCGGGTCTCCATGGTTCGAAGGCAGCAAGCTAATCTAAGCTGTTCGTGTAGTGCAGGAGGAATGCCTGAATGCAAAGCTAAAGTGCAAAGCTGAAATGCGGGGTGCGTTGCTAGCTTGCTGACATGCATGAAAACAAATGCGTTGTATGCTCGTTCGAGCCCATGCTACAGAAGCAATGAAGTGCACAGCAAGCGAAGAAGAAGTTAAAACATGCATGAGATAAAAGAAAAGTCACATGTCACGCGCTCAATTTGCCGGCAGCCTTGGTGAATGATCTGGTTTATGCAGATGATGCGCTCGTTGTGGCCGTCGAACAGGAGAGAGCTGAGTTGCACATGAACTGCATCGCCCGTGCCGGGTCCAATTACGCACTCACCTTCAATTGGGGACAAGTGGAACTGATGCCAATTCGATGCCAAGCTTCCATTCTGAAACCAAACAGGTGTGAAATTCCGAACAAATCATCCTTGGTGTACTTCGGCAGTAGTTTGTCAGCATCTGGCGACATAATTTCGGAAGTGAGTCGACGACTGGGTCTGGCACGCGCTGATTTCACTGTTCTGGAGAGCGAGTTTGGAAACATTCCCCATTGACCTCTCGCAGCAAATTGCGGGTTTTCAACGCTGGCATGGTGTCGAAGCTTGTTTATTGCCTGCACACAGCTTGGCGAAACAAAGCCGAGTTGAGGAGATTACATGCTTTCCAAACAAGCTGTCTTTGCAAGATTCTTCGCATTCCCCATTCCTTCACAAGCAGAATTTCGAACGCAGACGTTCTGAGCCGGGCAAATCACTGTGCGCTATGTTTTCCAAGATTCTGTAGTACTGACAGATTTTGTTTTTTTCCTCGCACCTCTTTGCGTCTGCGTCATGAACGACGGTCGGGCGCACCTTCGGAAATGCTGCAGTGTGGGCCCAGCCTGCTCAGCGGGGCCCTAGCCTGCTTGCAGGGATGGGGAGCTC